GCCAGTGTTTGCGTTGAGTAGCTATGGACATAGAAACCTCTTCTTCACAGCATCATGTCAATGGAACGGTCTTTCCTTTGAACTCCGTACTTCTCCTACTTCTCTGTAAAACTGCTCTCAAAACCTAATAATTCCAGTAAGCTCTCGACTGAACTTTACTCCTATGGCTGTACATGGCTGTAAATATCCCAGTCAATACTTTTAGTTAATAAGAGCAAGTTGTCTCTGAAACATGTTTCTTTCCGCATATCTAGACATTGCTAGTATTTGAGTAGAATTACTATACATCCATGACCATGTCAATCAGGCGAGGGTCCAGGGTATGTATCACGACAGAATGGATATAAAACACCCCTGATGATGAGGGTGTTACCCTGCCCCAGGATGTAGATAAACAACCCCAACCCACTCACTCACAACATAGCAAACTCTACTGTAATCGTAGTCCACCAATTTCCTGTTCATATCTAACTATCACAACTTGCCTTGCTGGAAAGCACCCAACTACATCAAATCTAACCCGAGAAGATCAGTGTTAGAATTGATCTTCAGCAACCCATCCTTGCGACTGACGGGACACACTGACTTGGTTGACACATGCCATTGTCTCCCAATTGCGTAGATTCATGTTCATGATGTTGATCACTGGATTGTCTGGTCCAGACTCCATTATTTACAGACAGCCGCCATATAGCTGGAATATTGCTGAGTGCGGGGTTAAACAACAAACCAAAACATCAAATCAGAAATATATATAAATATGCTCCACTGTGTGTGCGTGTGCGTGTGCGTGTGCGTGTGCGTGTGTGTATGTGTGGGGGATGATTTTAAGATGGGGTGTCACCCATTTTGTTCTGGGGAGTGGGGGGTGTTCATTCACATTGTGCGCGCACACACACACACACACACACACACACACACACACACACAAAAGACAAAATAAAAAACAAACGACAAAACAAAACAAAAAACCCTAGCCATAAATTATGAACGGTCCCTTACAACAGAAGTTAGATAATGTGCAAACACATACTTCACGAATTGTGTGACACATGTGCCCTCATGCAGTGATACATATACAGGCAGTCTTGTTACTGGGTAACGGAGTAAGGGAATGTTGTTTTCCGCCACAGTGACTCAGGGCAGAGACCATATATCTATATCGGTATATGGTCTCTGCTCAGGGGCTGCATGACGGCCGAAGACATGGAAGTTCCCGGGCTTCTCCACACTGACTCAGGGGCTGCATGACGGCCGAAGACATGGAAGTTCCCGGGCTTCTCCACACTGACTCAGGGGCTGCATGACGGCCGAAGACATGGAAGTTCCCGGGCTTCTCGCAGCGACTGCAGGTGTCAATTAGTGGTGACCTGGCCCTCTCAACCGTGGCGACACGGTCCGGTCAGCTGGACAGGCGTGGCTGGGACTGTTACACGCCATTCAGTCAAACATAATGCACTACAAACTGATATGGTGGATGCGATTGTAGTTGAAGATGTGAAAATCATTCCTATTCATTCTGTACAAGCCACACAATCATGGCGTTGTTCAACACAGTAGTCGGAAACGTGGGGTGACACACACGAACACTCGCTCGTGACCAACCACAGACCCACGCTGAGTCTCACACTGAGGGAAAATATAGAACTTTATAGAAACAAGAAACTAAATACAGCGTTAGAAATTAACGTCGGTCCTTAGGCCCGAAGCCGACTGAAAATCACTCGGACCCACAGCTTTTGTTTTCTGCAGCTCCTTATGGCCGACAGCTTTTTCATCCCCAAAACCTAAAAGTATTATTTCCATATAAAAAAACAGTGCCAACACATTCTGACCAGGACCAACAACTTTTTATTTTTCTGGGTCCTTAGGGCCTGCAGCTTTTCGGGTTTAAGGGAAAACACTGACTAAATATAAATTGAAACAGACTTCAGTGATAAGGAAGATCTGAGGAAACTCAAGATTTGCTTCATTTAGTGGCGTGTGTGTGTGTGAGTGTTCGTGCATGCACGTGTGCGTGTGCGTGTGCGTGTTGTATTACAGTGTCAGGAATGGAAAATATAAAAATCCACAGACTATGGGGCAGACTAGCGTAACCACAACATCCCCAGGCTAACGCTTAGTCTCGGATTATATATAATATTGATTGAAACAAGCAATTCCCTTTAAATAGGAAAGAGATCTAGTAGTCAGGGGTGGAAATAACCCATTGCCCGACGTCCGAGTCCAGTGTTTTTTTCTGTTGGGCAAGCAAAAACAAATCAACAAGAAAATCGGCCGGTATAGTGGAAAAATTACCAGGGCAAGTGATTTTACATGTGCCACTGTTCCCGAGTACACTAGCAATTTTAAAGTTCTTTCCACCCCTGGTAGTACAGGCTAGTAAGAAGGGGGAATCTGAGGACATCTAGACTTGCATCATTTGGGGCTTTAGCTTTGTAGAAAGGGCTGGGCGGTAGGGAAGACAATGAGGTTCCGGGACTGTGAGACTTCAACATCCCCTTCCTTCTTCTATCCTATAGATATTGCTTATTGTTCATCCAGTTGACTTGTGTTCAGTACACTGATCATATTGTCCTTCTGCCAGTTACCGAGACTATTATTTTTATATCGTTTAATCTGACAATCACACAATGAGTTTAATTATCTACTTTCGTGGAACAATTCATTGTTCCGCCACAAGGAGGACCGAGAACAAACATCCATTCACTCCATCCTGGTTCGTTCCGGTAACATGGTTGATATACCTGCATGTAGGAGCTTTAGATTCAATTTTATACAGAAATATTGTTTGTGTTTTGTAAAGGGTGCTGTCCATATTAAAAATTCATTGAAGTACATTTTCCCAAAAATGCTTAGAGTCCGTGGGCCATGTTATCTTCCTCGTTGCCATATAACCGCTTTTCTGAATCCCGTCTGACTGGGGCTGTTTTGAAGGTTTAATAAAGTATCTTGCTCCTATCAAACTGAATTTCCAGACCAAGAAGAACAAGCCCAATCTTCACAATAACACATCTAGCATAATCAATATCCAGTGAAAACGGATAATATTTGTAAATGTCTGTTGTCAGTGTTGTATAACACGTGCTATTCCTATTTAACAGTGAATGACATACAGCTGGTCCCATAGGGCTGGTGCAACATAGAAAGTTCCATCCATATACCACTTGTCGGCACTGTGGAGCATGTTTAGCATGTCCTCTGAAGCAAAAGCCAGTATCTTGTCGTCGTCACCATCATCAATGCACAAGAATTGCTGTCCATCTTTTGTCTGAGTCCATGGTCCTTCGAGTTGAACATCAGCTAGAGACTTGGGTAGGTTTGGTAGAACTTTGCTTCTGTGCCGGTAGAGGGAGGACTTTACTCTCGAGAACGATCGTACAGAAGCTGGGTCAGCTTTGGAGGTTACAATATAAGCATGCTAACTGCTTCCCAAAACAAAATAAAACAGTATCACTGTACTTGTCTTGTAGTCTTTATTGGATGACTGACTGAGTTTGGTTTTACGCCGCTTTTAGCAATATTCCAGCAACATCACGGCGGGGGACACCAGAAATGGGCTTCACACTTTGTGCCCATGTGGGGATTCGAACCCGGGTCTTCGGCGTGACGAGCCAACGCTTTAACCATTAGGCTAACCCACCGCCCCTTTTATTGGATGAGAAGACTCAAAACATGCTATACACAGTAGATGCACAGATATATACTAATATAATCCCCCTAATTATCCTTTACTCCAAACGAAGCACCCCTTCTTCATTGATACTCGGGCTGTTCCATTATTCTACAGGCAAAAAAATCTTTTCCCACGCTGCTTACAATGTATTTGTTGGCAGTTTGGGATGTAGGCAGTTTGGAACTGTAGGCAGTATGGGACCTAACCATTACTACCACGGCCGACTTAATCTCATTCTTGCTGAGCAAAACGTTGTATGAAATACGTGTTACCTTCGACTAACACAGGAAATGTTTCCATGGTATCGACACGTCACTACTTTTATCTACAATAATATACTTAAATTTTACCACGTCATATGGAGCATGATATGTTATTTACAAACGGAAATGCTGGACAGCTGTTACAGTCTTGGAGGTATGTGTAGTCACTGTGTGGCCTGGTATATCTGTCGGTAGTCTTCGAGGACAATAACAAAAATGTTCCTTCGACCTTACTTTTTGTTTTCAATAAAACATATATTCAAATAAAGTCATACCGCCCTCCTCTCTATTGAGAAAAATGTGCCCGAAAAACATTTTGACACAGCACTATTTATTATCTTACACAGATATGAGAAATTATGGTAGAAACAAATGTATAATTCCTTTTAGTTTGAAAAGGAGCCCCATTGAGATGGGTAGTTGAGCCTGAAGAAATCTAGACTTGCTTAATTAGGGACTTAGCATTACAGAAAGAACTGAGCGGAAGGGGAAATATTGTGGTTCAGGGACTGAGCTAGTCTGTCGTACAGACCCTGAAGCAAATATATCCAAGAAAGCCAACGCAAGTCTAGAAAATGTGCAAGTCTACATTTCCTCTGAAAATTTAAGAAAGTATCAGGGCTCCTTTTCATTATATTATATTATTTTTACTATGAACTTTTTTCAGTAAAATATGTTCATTTCAGAGACTAGTTGTTAGTCTAGGACTGAGCGACAGACTTATGAGAAATATCCGCGTGCATGAACTCTACCGCCCGACACTCAGCGGAGCGCGGGGCACGAGGCCTGAGGCTGAGGTGAGAACGTTTACCTTTGAGGCGGAAGATGGGGGTCTCACATTGAACCAGTTTCTCATTTCAGAGTTGACCCGAAAATTACCTTTCCGTTATGACGATGATAACTGTCGTTAATGAAACCTGTGTTCGGTGGAGACATGTTGGCAAGGCCCAGTGTGTTGTCTTGATAATATTCTGTGAGGTTTCTGTTTTATGTAGTTCACAACACACCTGCCATATAGTTTACATGCCTACTTCATTGCGAGAATAAACAAGCCGACAAAGTCTTATGTGGATAATATACGTCGACAAAAACAACAAGAGGGATTGTCACTATTTTCTAACGTTGTTGACGCGCATCTATTTATAACGCGACAGCGGAAGGCGCGTCACAACAGAGCGCGGCGAGCGAGTACAACTTTTATGAGTAGTTGTTTCTTTAGTAGCATCTGTGTGTGCCGAGTGAGTGTAGACGTGATTAGATGATCTTCGCCGTAAAAACACGGCGATCAGAAGCAGTTGTGTCCCTGTCGGTGACCACGCCACCCATGGAGGGTTGAGGTAGAGATGGCGACAGTGAACGGAGACGACGGGGGTGGCTCCCCACCCCCTCATCTACCCTGGGCTTTATTTTGTGAACAGCATGCGAAAGCCGCAGCCGTGGAGTTTGTGCGATCCTTCCTCTTATATCAAAGGAGTTCTAGTTTAACGGACTCTCGGGACCCGTGTGACTATTCCCGAAAATTTGCGGAATGTTTTCAACGCCAATTCGCCCTTGAAATTCGTAGATCGTCTTTTGTGTTAGATCAGAGTGCAGAAGCTAAATTGATTGTACCGGAGGAAACCTCCCCCCAAGAAAATGGCTCGGCTGACTATACCGACCAGGACATCCATCTCGGTGAGGCCAGCCCTTCCAAAAGAACACACAAAAGTCTACTACGCAGATTATCTTTTAAAAACATTCGAAAGGGAAGATTATTCAAGCAATCTTCGGACGAGCTTGATGTATCTGACACTAATCACAGAAAACACAAGCACAAACATGATAAATCGAAACAAGGAAAATTGACGAGCAAATCCGAGGGACAAATCGAATTGAAAAAAGAGGGGGTTGTGCATGTCCTCAGTGGGGAGGATTCTAAAGGAAAATCCAAATGGGAGCGGACACGTTTAGTACTTCTCAAAACCACAGGAGGATATTTGCTGGAATTTTATTCACCGCCTAAGGTAGGTAGCGTACGGTGATGTAACCGACTGTGTTTACCAACGAGCCTCGCATTCCAGGGGATATTGCGGCTGTTTACCTTCCCGAGGTCGCGATGTCACAAATCGGGTTAGGTTTATAACTGACCACGGTTGAAGACTGGGGTTTATTTTCAGGGCTGTTTATGTATGCATGCCTCCCGAATATTTGGAAGGCCGCTTTTCCGTACACATCCCGCAGAAGTCAGGTCAATCTTGTCACTGGGAGTTTTCTCCCGGATATGTCGATATTGGTGGCAGCAGTGCTTCTCCATTCACAACTCGGCCATTGTCCAATAATCGAATTTACTCGAGTACAACCGACTTTGACCGTGTTCCCTGTTTACAATGTTAATCCGAATGGGAACGATATTGTCTGGCTAAACACCACAATTGATAACACATTCCTATAGGCTGATGTGTGCGCCCATGGGGCACAGATCAGCTGTTTTTCAACAGGCATGTTGTCAAATATGACGGCCTGGGCTGTTTGTCGTCCCATCAAGACGAAATTACTATGTCAATTGTCAACAGCTTGAAACATTGGCTTCATTCTTCCATGTTAATGCATGTAATGACAGGATCTGATGTTAAAAACCCAGGGTGGTTAAGCTGCTACATAGTAAATGTGTGTGCACTGTTTGCTTTGTTATGTGAAACAATGTTGAAAATGTCACAACATTACCATTGTCCAAACAATTTTTATTGTACAACAATGCTATGTTAGTTTCAATATTGTTATGTCATCTATCTGTTACAAAGTCATTATATACTGGCAATGTTGAATGTTTTCTACTAAGTATTGCTACATATTATGGCCTACGGTTGTTGTAAGTATATTTTTGAAACAGGCACATTGATAATAAGTGTTACTGTTTACTCAACTTACTACAATCAAGCTGGGCCTCGTTTCACTAAGCTCTCGTAACTTTTCTCGTAGCATTCATACTTCCTGTACTGTAACATTGACTTGCGATAGCCGTAGCGCTACGAGAGCTTTGTGAAACGGGGCCCAGAACCTTTTCAGAATACTAGTATATCTGGTAATCCTTGAGCATTCTCTTGAATTGTGAAAATTGGTCCCAATTATGATTGTGCACAATTAGGTTTGATCTGATTTTTTTGCAAGGTTCTGAAACAATAGTCTGTTTGCAGTAAAAACATACCGATGAATTTCACTATAAACAAAAAAGTACATCAAATAAAGTGAAATTAAGATTGCGAATCCTCATATATTATACCTTGCCAATTGAACATTTAAATCTCAGAATTTTATTCAACTTAGGATAAAAGTTGTTCAACAAATGATTATAGATCCAAATTGCAATTATTGGTTTGTATATCAAGGGGGTATGTACATTAAATGAAACAGCGAGAACAAGTAGGGTTGGTCTAAGTTAACTTTACTTTTTGTCTTACTGTTCCAACTACTGCGCTTACCCCCTTGTGATACAAACCAATAATTGCGATTTGAATCTATGATCGTTTATTAAACAACTTTTATCCTAAGTTGAATAAAATTCTGAGATTTAAATGTTCAATTGGCAAGATAAAATTATTAGGATTTGCAATCTTAATTTCACTTTATTTGATTTACTTGTTTGTTTATAGTGAAATTCATCGGTACGTTTTCACTGCAAGTGCAAACAGACTATATGTTGGTTGTTGTTTCAACATTGAAATATTAATGAGTTGTAGCTACTCCCTAAAACTGACTACCTGACAATATACTTGTCTAGAACATTGCTGCAGATGTCTGTAAATCTTGAAGATTTCAATGTTGACGTTTATCAAATATGGTTCATATTTCACTGATGACAGGACCTATGAAGAGGAAGACATAATTTAACATTACTGTGATGTAAATATGCTCTGAATATAAGAGAAAAGAAATTGAAACTGACAATTCCAAACTAATTTTTTAGCTGTGTGCCTGCCAGGCACTTAGAACACCAAGGTAATTCTGTAACTTGTTCCATGAGAGTTGGTAGAGGGATTGTTTAGGGAATATAGGTTTGGGATAATGTTGTGTATTGGTTCAAACATATACTAAACAAAAACAATTTGGGATCATGAATATTAATTTCAACTGTCCTCTCAGTCTTCACGAAAACAACATGTGACAAAACCTATTGCTGTCCCTATTTGTTTTGTTTGGTATAGATGTTTATGTTCACTGATGTGCTTGACAGTGGATCTCAACAGACTGGAGAATATGCTTGCTCACTCCACTCCTTAAATAGATAACAGCTTGACTCAGTGTCACGACTTGGGACAAACAAGAATACAAAAGAGTGAGTGAGTGAGTTTAGTATTACGCCACACTCAGCAATATTCCAGCCATATGGTGGCGGTCTGTAAATAATCATGCCTGGACCAGACAATTCAGTGATCAACAGCATGAGCATCAATCTATGCATTTGGGATACAATAACATATGTCAACCAAGTCAGTGAACCTGACCTGATTCCATTTGTTGCCTTTTACGACAAGTATGGGTTACTGAAGATCAATTCTAACCCGAATCTTCACGGGGAGAATACAAAAGAAAATGTTTCAGATGTATTGACTGTCACAGTCATATGGTATCTATAGTAGGTGTTTTGTGAACAATATTAAACCCCTAATGCATTGAAAGTTTGTAGTTTGCAGTTAGATATATAAATTGACATGTGCAGTGTTCAAGCATCACGGGACTGTAAGGGATTGTGTCTGTACAAGGCAAGCATTGATTAATGTGCCGGGTAATGATCCCGAACCTTCGGGTACGATGACGTGCTGTCAACCTAGTCACCCAGTATAACCACCTGTTCATTTTATGGTCTTTTATAACAAACAAATGCTGGAAGCAACACGGGTTATGCACATGATGCATGAATATATAATTCTATTCAGATCTGTTTAAGTCCCTTGAAGCCTGAAAGAGTGAAGTGAATTTTGCATTAGAAGAGATTTATTTAGGATTCCAAACAAGTTGGCTATCATTAGATAGCAATAACAGCATGAATTGGGAAATTTGTTATTCAGTTTTGGAATTTATGCTGACTTGGCTGAAGACTGGGACCAAATATTGACCTCTAAGCAAGTATTGATAATTCCCTGTTTAGTAAATGTTTTGTGGTAGTCATCAATATTTCAGCTATGGCAGTATCAGCCTGTAGACAATCAGTTGTGGACTAGACAAACCACAGGTTGACAGCATGAGACTCAGTTCCTGCTGTCTGGGTAGGATAAACAGTCAGGTCACATGATGTAAAGCTCCGATGATTACTGGATTCAGCTCTTACAACAGTCATGGTGTACTGGAGAGCTATTCTGTCCTGTGACAATCATGGTGTACTGGAGAGCTATTCTGTCCTGTGACAGTCATGGTGTACTGGAGAGCTATTCTGTCCTGTGACAATCATGGTGTACTGGAGAGCTATTCTGTCCTATGACAGTCATGGTGTACTAGAGAGCTATTCTGTCCTGTGACAGTTATGGTCTACTGGAGAGCTATTCTGTCCTGGGACAACCATGGTGTACTGGAGAGCTATTCTGTCCTGTGACAGTCATGGTGTACTGGAGAGCTATTCTGTCCTGTGACAACCATGGTCTACTGGAGAGCTATTCTGTCCTGTGACAACCATGGTCTACTGGAGAGCTATTCTGTCCTGTGACAGTCATGGTGTACTGGAGAGCTATTCTGTCCTGTGACAATCATGGTGTACTGGAGAGCTATTCTGTCCTGTGACAGTCATGGTGTACTAGAGAGCTATTCTGTCCTGTGACAATCATGGTGTACTGGAGAGCTATTCTGTCCTATGACAAGCATGGTGTACTGGAGAGCTATTCTGTCCTGTGACAGTCATGGTCTACTGGAGAGCTATTCTGTCCTGGGACAACCATGGTCTACTGGAGAGCTATTCTGTCCTGTGACAGTCATGGTGTACTGGAGAGCTATTCTGTCCTTGACAGTCATGGTGTACTAGAGAGCTATTCTGTCCTGTGACAGTCATGGTGTACTGGAGAGCTATTCTGTCCTATGACAATCATGGTCTACTGGAGAGCTATTCTGTCCTATGACAATCATGGTGTACTGGAGAGCTATTCTGTCCTATGACAATCATGGTCTACTGGGAGAGCTATTCTGTCCTGTGACAACCATGGTGTACTGGAGAGCTATTCTGTCCTGTGACAGTCATGGTGTACTAGAGAGCTATTCTGTCCTGTGACAATCATGGCCTACTGGAGAGCTATTCTGCCTGAGGATGGTCATAGTACTGGAGAAGTATTCTGTCCCAAGACAGTGAAGGTGTGCTGTGAGATATTCTGTCCCAGGACAGTGAAGGTGTGCTGTGAGATATTCTGTCCCAGGACAGTGAAGGTGTGCTGTGAGATATTCTGTCCCAGGACAGTGAAGGTGTGCTATGAGATATTCTGAGATATCCTGCTGAAGGCAGTTTGTGCAGTACCCTCTGCATCAACAAGCTGTCCTGTAACCTTGACCCGCAGCTGGTAGATAATACTGAATATATACTGACACATTACACAGTGCTCACATTTAGTACATTATTGATCATATATCCCCCAAATTAGTGTAGTCATCATTTTGTTCACATAGCAACAGATTTCAACAAAAGCTACAGTCAACAAATGAAAGCTGTGATATGTATTTCAAAAGTTTGATTTCTTGTCTGCTGAACAACATGGATGCCACCTTGGCTTGTCAAGAATAAATTGCAGTCAGATCATAGATGGAATATCACTGTCATGACATCACAGCTGAGGTCACATCAATTAATATCACTCGGTCATCATGATGAACGGATGGCTTCAAAGCATACCTTTTGTGTTTCAGGTTCATTTGCTTGGTCTGTCCTCAGGGCAGGTTTTACAGTGTGGGTGTAGGAAGGTGATTTTATCAGTTGTAAATATTGCTTTGGTGTTCATCTTGATTATGATGATGTGTATGTGAGGGCCCTGTATCTGGGGTTTCACCTGAG